TTTGTGCTTTTCGTATCGCAGTGCAGATTGTGCTGGTGATTGGGTGGTAGCGATTTTGTACGCAGTTTTATGGGTATTCAAAATTAAATAAAAAAACCGATGAAATGTGGAGTGAGGGCCATCATTCAGGTATGAGACAGTACTAAGTCATATGAAATTCATTCCAAATTTAAAATGTTTACATGACGAACGATTCAACAATTATACGAAAGGTGTTGGAATTTAAGAGTGGGAAAATCGGTACCCGTTAAGAAGAACGTCCAGCAGCTAATCGTTATAAATAAATTGTTGCAAGTATGAAGAAATCGCGCATTTAGATCAGCGAGCCACTATAAGTGAACTGTATAGAGAGCCCGCGTGTGTCTGACATGATAACATTACCATAAATGCCCTTTTTGTTATTGAATGGTTTATAGTAGATGGGTGTTTTGCTTGATCGCTGAGAAGAACATGAAATGCCTCTTGGGAAATGCACTGATATTTTTGACACACGCAAATCGAGATGATCCTTTCTCATCGCACTCGAAGGCCATATCTGAGGGCCATGTGGTTTAACTTGCCTAAGCCCCTGTGACTAACAAACAAAGGATTTTATGCCTAATTACAAACGATTTCCAAGACATGACATCAGCCGCTTTCTTCCACTAAGCCTAAGAAACTCAAATATTCGAACTCTATCCAAAAGATAATGTTTGTTGCGTTCCGGATGGACACGCCAAATTATCATTAAGAACACGTATTATAAAAACTGACAAAACTGAGAATTATGAAAAATCAAATCGCCGGAGAGGCTTCTTTTCTGACAGTGTAATTATTAAAAAGCAACCAGCCTACAGTCCCGATTTTGCTACTATCGATTACCATCCTTTAATACAAATAGAATTTTGGGGTTCAAAGCGCTGACAGTAAATGCATTTTCCAATGAACTGGAAGAGAAAATGACGACTATAATACAAATACAAGCGTATATAAAATATCACCGTACAATTAATGTGTCAATATGTATTTTCATGTAAAAAAGCCCATGGTCATTAATTATTTTACAGGGTAAAATAATGTAAGAAGGAAAGCTCTAAGTCAAGGGAAAGCTTCTGTAGATTTTAATATACATGCGCTTTCATGATAATTCATAAAAGTGTCAAAACCAGAAACTAAATAATAAACTAAATAACAAAGGCATCATTGTGTTCTACCATACCATATTGCTCTTCGAAGGTTCCAAACATTTTTCTTAAGAAACACTTAAAACCGGAGAAATTTTTAAAGCTGTAATAGGGTGCAACTTTTAACGAAATGGGCGAATGAATTATTTTTAATAATCATTAGCTTCATTTCTTTGCTAATTGCTGTGCTCATTACACAAAAGAATTAAAAAAAGTGTTTTTAATGCGTCTTTTGGTCCACATTCGCGGTCCTTTTTATCTTGTAGTAAATTGTGCTTCTAATTACATCTTTTATGCAAAATGGAAAAATCATGCACGATAATTTCAAAATTCTTCCGAAGCTGAGGAAAAGAAAGTAGCAGTTTTAACAAATATCTTAAAACATCCTAAATAATAATATGTATACTTGAAGAAGCATTTAACATACCGAAAACATTTTATTTTTCTATACCTTTTGAAAAATGGATGACTGTTTTGTTTTTAACCCAAAAGAGCTATTAGTCCCTAGACGGAATCTATAAGCGGCTCTACCACTTTTCAGATTGCTGCCACCAAATGTTATTGCCCTTTATTATTTTTAAAAGAATTAAGTAATGAATAATCTTCATATATGTAGGCATATTCCTCGCATATTGGAAAAAACAACGGTACCTAGAACAATCAAATTTTGAGTTGTAGAGAGGTTATTTTGAAACCGGAAAGATGAAAAATGAGCAACGCCCTCGCCAGGAATCGAACCATGGACGTCTGGAATAAGCGCCCACCATGCTGACCACCACACCACGAAGGCAGGCTAAGAAGGTGGGGGAAATACCTTATATACTCCCCTTTTAAAGGGTGATTGGGGATTAAAAGAACCAGTCGCCAAATCTTGGGGGTGGAGAATCATCATCCACCACCCTTTTAGTTTGGGCGCCACTGTAGAGCTATTAGGTTATTTCGAAGCCAGAGAGATGAAAAGTGAGGAACACCCTCACTGAAAATCGAACTATGGATCTCTGAAATACGCGCCCAGCGTGCTGAACACTACAGTACGAAGGAATGCTAAGAAGCCGGGAGAAATACCTTATATAGAGTCCTCCAGCCGAACATGCGCACCTAGAAGACCGAATTTTGAATTTCGAAGTCTTTACTTCATATTTTGAAAACTTTTAATCAATTTTTGATTAAATTTGGTTAAATTTTTTATTAACAATTTGAAAGCGAGCAGTGGCAACACTGTACTGAATAAAGTATTGTTACGTTTTCGTTTAATTCTTCTGACACCAGTTGTTGCGTTTCTTCCTTCCTTCACGTTCGTACGGGGTTCGTGTAGATTTGGAGTGAATAACGACGACACTTTATGAAGTATCGAAACACACTTTATTTGCCAGTATTGTCAGGACAGCTCCAAAACACGTTTTACAGTCGTCGAAGATCTACTATAAACACGCTGACACGATCAGCGACACAGCCTTCAGGTTATCAGGCTATCACGGTGGAGACAGCTTCCTGCAAAGCAGCCGACTCTGCTTTCCGGAATACAGCTGCCGACTCTGTTTGATCGCTCTCGGAACTCCACGTACTCTCGAGACTCTCCACGCGATGCACTCGACGATACACAAGAGTATAGCCTTCGACTCAGCACAGTCTAAGACAAAACTCGAGGATGCACTAATTCGCGATGCACTAAAAGACTCTCTCGATGCACTGGACGGCCAACTCGGCGCTAGACTTTAAGACACTCTCTCAATGACTGACTATCAGCTCGCTAGACGAGGCACACACACTCTCGATGAGAGACACACACCTGACTGCAGACCAGCACGGTTTATATAGCTTTCGGCTTGTGTTCGGGAACATTCTGGACTAAACCGGTAAGAATTCGTTCCAGAAGGTTCTCCAACCGTCCATGGTATATCGCCAAATGAGCGATTTTCGCCAAATGTGACAAACCTGCCTTCTCTTGCCATTTTATGTCAACCCTAAAACTGCTTTGCGGGAAAGCCATCTTACCGCGCCTTTACATTTCGTAACAGTATTTTTATATCCTGTGCACGTTTATCAGGATTTCTAAATATACGCTGTTTTTATTTTTATTTTTTTCTTTGAATGGAACTTTATGTACTGTAAGTGCAAAGAACATGATATTTAATTAGTAAATTTAAAGCACAAAACGTTGATAATAAGAAGACAAATAAATTTTTGCAGGCCATCTTACTAAGAAAATTGAACATTGATATGATGAACTGAGTATAAAGTAAAAATTTAAAAAATATTCGACACTAAACAATACATCGAGAATTATAAACATGTACTGCTATACTGCTTTTAAAATTTTTGTAATTTTGTTGTTGAATTGTATATGGCGTAAGAAGGAAGAAAACGATGCTTAGTAATAAAGCTTAAAGGGCAAGAATGAATTGTTTAGCAGGAGTGAGTGCAACAGCAATCTGGTAGACTGCGAGCACAGAGAGAACGTAAAAAACCACTTTACCCTTTTGTACGACCGTTAAAATCTGAACTCTCTCATATTTTCGTTTTTCCTCGAATTTCTTTTTATTGGTATTAAACAATAATTCTTATCATTTCTATTGTTTTCAATAGGTCACTAAAAATATCATTTTAATCTGTTGCAAATATTAACGCATATCCATGGTTTCTAGAAAACTGGCTGTAGGCTATATTTCCTTAAGTATTGATATATGACATAAATTTCCATGTAATCCCAAATTTTCCATTCCAGTTATGGGCTTCTCAAAATTAGTCCTGACGTATTACATGGCTTCCTCAAAATGAAAACATCAGTTAGAAAATTATTCGATGTGCTTTAACAAGTTAAACACAAAAATATTTCATGTATTTATTTACAAAATTTGTGGAGCTATTATAGCTTCATGGGACCAACTTAAGAGTTCGTAAGAAATACTCTTTCATCCTATACGAAATTATTAATTAACAGCACAAGCAAGCTTTGTAGTTTCTCCTTAATTCTAGTTTATATCACTCACTAAAAGTCATTGAAAGTGATATATATCATCATATTTCATAATGTGTTTTTAGTATTTAACTTATTAGAGCATAGTAAACATTTTACTGCTTAGATACTTAATTATTTAAGAAGTATGTAAAACAGATTTTTTTTTTAGAAAACCCGCTCAAACCCAACGCTTGTCTTTATAACGTTATGTGCTTTATTTTCAGAAACTTAAAATACTATTAAATTTAAAGTACTAAATAATTAAGCAATAACCATTAAAGTCTGTCAGATGACTTTTGTTCCATCCGACGTCATAGGTAAAAGTATCATATTAAAAGTAAATGCAAAAAATAGAGTATTTATTAACACATCGGCATAACATTTATACAAGGTGACCTTTGCTTACTTGAGCATAGAATAGCTATATTTTTCATATAAATCTAAAGTAAATTGTATTTATTTATAATCAAAATAAAAGCTATTTAAACTCTGTCTTTCCCTGACTAATTACACTCGAATAATCAAAACAAAGATATCTCTTTCGGCAAGCTAACTCAAACAGCAGAATTAAAGGTAGAATAATAGAAGTCAACCTAAGCTTCCAATCACGCTTTCCTAAACTTTCAGATACATTTATACTTAAAACAAATTCGCATCCTAGTGGGAGATGACGCCAAAAACACAGCACGGAATACCTAAAATATTAATAAGTTATAAATTAAAACAAAACCTTATAAACATTGTAGTTTAAATTGCACGTATAGGATCAATACTTAAGGAAATGGACAACTTGTCTTGTTCCACCATGTGTAAATTCCATATCTGTTCTTTTGTATTAGAATAAGAACTAAATGCATGTATACCATATTATGATTTAGGTATTTTCCATTCGGTGGCAGTCACTATTCGTCCAGAAAATACATTAAGAGCCATCTGTGGCAACTTCGCCCAAGATTTCCGCCATGTTACATGCGTTCCAGCACCTGATGCTTTCAACCCTTGTGAGGACGTGATGGGCCAGTGGTCACTAAGAGTTGCTGTCTGGTTCGTCGCCATCGCCGCTATGCTGGGAAATCTGGCCGTTCTAGTCGTCATCCTCAGCGCCCGGTCTACGATGACTGTCTCTAAGTTTCTGATGTGCCATCTTGCTTTTGCTGACTTCTGTATGGGATTATATTTGATGATCATTGCCAGCGTGGATGTCCATACTATGGGCACGTATTTTAATCATGCCATTGACTGGCAACATGGTAAGTGGCTTAGGAATTTTTTTCAAATTCATGTATCATTTGACTGCAGATGAAATGTTATGTACTGTAAAACCTGTTTAAAAGGTTTCCCTATTAACTCTCTCGATACTGATGGTGGGGTTTTGCCGCCTTCATATGCAAAGCTTTGTTTTATGGTTAGAAATGACGTTTTACTATTCACCAACAGAGGTCTCATCTGGAACCTGTTCGCATTTGTTTTCCTGCTGGTTTTGTGAATGTTTGCTTTTGAACGTTGTTTGTGATGCGACATGGTAGAAGAAAAACTCTAGTAGAGACATGTTAATATGTAGCAAGGAAGTTCTTCTAACACCGATAAACAATATTTTGCAAACACTATTTTATTTTTATTTTTTCCGCTTGTCATAAAATCCGAGAATGAAAGGGTTAAGAAAGTTTCGTTAACAAATTCCCCACTTCATCTTGATTTGGTATAATGTTAAATTTTATCTCATAAAACATTCTGTCTTAAAAATTTTCTAGCTTAGAAAATTCACACTAATCTTTTATTGAATCTTTCCTTCATTCGAAAAACAGGTTTTAAGAAAATTTATACTAAATGTACTTATTTTTCCAGTTTAAATTAGAAACGAAACTCAACGACTTCGTTTTTAGAACAATAAACGGCTTTTTCTCTTATCAGTGCCTATCGATTGACTGTATACCATTTGCTATCATCATAATGGTTAGCAAGCTTCCTAACTGTGGGCTAAAACGGCCTAAAAGGCCGTTAATTTCGATCTTGTTCCTGTCTTTCTTTTGCAATATGGAATACGGAAAACAAAGCCAATTACAATATTAAAAAAGTTGTAGTTTCACTTTTTCATGACTTAAATGGGTATTGTCCATTCTGAGATATCAGATATTTTTTTCAAAATTAATTAATGTATGTTTCTTAATTAATGAAGGATCTGAAGGGGAAAAAACTGTACAAAATTCTATAAAAAATACAGATAAATTTGTTCCGTCTTTTATATTTTATTGAAAAATAATGAGGTAAGTTCTAAACTAATTTAGATGAAATTAGAATTTTAAAAAAAAATTTGAAATGATTTCCTTAAATTCAATTAAAAATAAAAATAAATGAGTTTGATCTGAAAAAATTAGTGAAGCTATAAATTAAGTATTCTGTTATAAGTAAACTGTTTTATAACTAACTGTAATTTTAAAAACATATACTCACTCACATTTAATATGTTATCCGATTTAAAAAGCATTTTTTACTTGAGACCTTACTATTTTCGCATTTCAAAATATATTTCCTTCCTCTATAAAATACGTCATGACATTCATAAGAGTAATGCTAAACAGCTGTGCATTTCCGCCATCATTTGTATGAACGAATTTGAATTTGTAAAGTAAGAAGAAAATTTGAAGAGTAAATTTGTAAGTTTTATGAGGTAAACTGGAAACGTTTTGGGTACTAAATTGTCCTTGGTATTTAGTTGTCAATGTTAGTCTTTGGTATTTAGTTGTCAATGTTTGATTGCTTCATGAAAAACCTTCAGCTCAATCAGTCATTCACAACAAGTATAGAATACTGTTGATAATACGACTTTGCCTAACTTGATTCCAATTAGTTTCGAATATACTTCTGGCGATGGAGCTGGAGGATCCTGTATCCTTTATTCTATCTCTAAGCTCTCAAGGAAACTTCCTGAACATAGAATTTAAAGCGCATCCATTCGGCAAAGACACTACATCTTGAATATCAAAATCTTCGAAGAATCTGATCCAATAAATCTATCCCAAACTTCAAACGACAAAAATGTGGTGAAAGCTTATACCGAATTTAATCTTTATTGATGGCTTTAACATTACATTGCATCTGATAAAATTACATTGCTTTTGAATCTAAAGGATAGTTACTAACAAAACATAGAATATTAGAACACTAAATATGCTTTTCAGTGTCAGCTACAATAATGTTTTAATCTCGATAGCGATTGTAAAGGGGGCAGTCAAGACGTTTATTTGAAATGTTTTTTTTTTCTTATTCTTCTTTCAGAGTATCTCAGAAGAGCAAAAAAAAATCAATTTCAGCTATATATATTTTAAAAGCAATGTTGTCAGGAACAGATATGTTCTTGAAGCACTAAAAATGTTTCTCTAGGGTTATGAGACTTATTAAATACTTAAATAACTTTCCCTTGTATTCATTTGTAAGACTTCAAATATGATTGATTTTTGCTGACAATGGACTTTACAATACACTAAAATTCAGATTGTTTTTAAAATCTTGAAATCTGTGCTCCTAAGTCTCCAATCCCTTTTTCCTTCTACCCCGTTTCTTCAAAACCTTATCACGAGAACCAACAGATCATCATTTGTAGCGATCATAATTTTTCGCTCCTCTGTACATTTCATTATCAATGAATATTTTATTACTCTCAATTATTTCATGTTACTCATATTACTTAACAAAATCTCTCAGTTATCAACATATAAATTAAAAGAAACCAAGAGTTACCCATAGCTCCTGCAGCGAGAGTTTTCATAAGCGAGCTTCGTAATTTGATAAACTGTCGAAACTAACCTTTTACTAACCTTTAGCATAATGATCCGAAAGCTTTTAAAATCAAAGAAACCATTTTATTCCGATTGCTTTGAATATTATAAGAAATAATAAACTTGGGATACTACATAAATATGAGGCTTTAGTTGAAAGATATTTACTGCTAATGACGAAATATTCGAAATCCATACCATATCGGAGAGCACTTCTTTCTGCGTGAGGTACCTCGGAACTACTCTTAAAAAGCATACTAAAGCAAAAAGTGATGAATGCTACTTTTGATTTTCTTTTACAACAGAAGATTGATTACTTTTCTTTCTGAACATTCTTGAAAGCTTGGAGAAAACATTTTAAAGGTCGGTTTCTTTTAGCGATTGTTAGGTTTTCAATTTTTGGTTATTTGGATTAAAAACTGAAGATTTTCAGTTTTCAAAGATTCAGGAACTTTAATAAGACATATTTTATATCTCTTCTCGTTTATATTTTTACTTCACTAACACAGACTATGGTGCTTACATCTCCAGAGGTTTTACGAGGGAATTTTTAATTGTTTATTTCAGTTACCGTTTTTTCATTACTTAATAAATTCTACTTTAGATATCAGAAAATGTTTAAAACATGTTACTTCTCCAAAGATTATGTCCCTTCATTTGTATAATTTTTTAATACTGAGGGCTTTTTAATGTTCTTGTAACTTCAATTTTGGGCGAAGTTGATTTTTATGTTGCTGCCAACATGCCAGGAATTAAATCTGCAGAATTATTGTTTCAAGAGCACTACATTTGAAGTGAAATTGATGATACACCTTATATATACATATGTAATAAAAAAGCAAAATTTAGAAGTACTGAAGTGGGAACACTGCGTAGAATACTGAAATGCCGATCCACAATAAATAAAAATTTGGCAGTCGAGGTAGATTTTAATTCCATCTTTATTAAATTAACATTTAGAGCAAAAATTAACTTGACACTCTAATCGTACCTATTTTCAGAACAGTTGCATTTTAATACAATTACGACAGGAACCGAACACAGCGAAATGACATCCAAACAGCAACAGAGTTACATGTGAAGTAAGCATTTACTATCTAATATGGCAGCTCACCAAAGAGAAATGTTTTGGTTTACAAAGGTTCTCAAGAATTTAGGTTCCCAAATAACTACGTCATCAGTGTTATGCAAGCTTTGTGGCACAGATTAACCTAGAAATGACGCAGTCCAGAAATGGTATTATTATTTTTAGAATAAAGAGGAAATAACCAAATTAAAATTAGGAATTAAGAAGCAATTATTAAATGAAATTATAAAGCTGATTTACATATTTTTTATCTTACACACACACACACATATATATATATATATATAGAGAGAGAGAGAGAGAGAGAAAAAAGGAATTCTGTCTGATCATAAATTGCTTTTAAAGGGTATTTACGCTTGTCAGTTTGGCATTAAATTCAATTTGCATTATCGCAATTCAGTTTCGCGTAATTCAGTTTGCGAATTCAATTTAAATTCAATTTGCGCTTATCGTCATTAAATTCAATTTGCATATACAAACGAATTTACGCTAATTTCATCATGCGCATGGGAAATGAAAAAGCAGTTTCCGTAAATAAAAAATATTAAGGAACTGAAATTTGTAATCGTTCTTAATATTTAAAAACTCACCCAAAGGTTTCAAGAAAAGATAGTTTAATTCCTCCTAAACATTTGAGAAATCCATTATGTAAACTCTAAGCATAAAACGAACATAACTCTAATTTTTCAATTCGTTAACTTTTTGTATAAAACTATATATTTATTATTTTCTATTTAAATTTATTTCTCCAAAAATTGTGTTTCCTTGTATAATATGTTTTACCCTACACGCAAAACATTTAAAGAAAAATAATAAAATATTACTGACACGATTATTCCAAAAACATATTTGAATTAGCTACTAATTACAATATACTTACTTATTTTTCTACTGAATACTGATCATTGCTTTTAAAAATGTATTTTTGGGAAATGCTCTTTTTATTCAACACACACATATTAGCACATGCTTTATTAATCGATAAAAATGTTTTTCATTTCTTTTAAATACGGCTTTATTTTAATTCTTACGGGAGACATTTATTCATCATCATTATTCTTTTCTTTCCACGTCGGCATATAAAGTGTTTAAATATTTTAAAATTCGAATTCTTATGGCACTTGCACAAAGAAAACTAAATAATTTTAAAAAAAGGAATAAAAATTCACGTGTTTGCTTTCATTTAAATTAAACGAACTGTAAAATGTGTATATCTAGTATAAAAATAGCCTTTAAGTATGTTTATCACACCATGCAATTCAATTTTTATTTTCAGAAATCTTCTAAATGAAACATGGCGTTCTCAAAGAAAATATAAATTTAAAACATACAATAGCACCTATATTAATTGCTATTTTGTTTCAAGTTAATTTCTTTTCACTCTTTTTTTTCCCCTAAGCTAAATTTTAAATATTGGTTCACCTATTCCATTAGACAATAATGCAGGAATTTGGGAATTATTATTTTACTTCACTGAAAACGAAACTACCTTAATTAAAAGCTCTTAATAACGAATTGTATGCGACCCTTTTGTATTCTATAACATCAACAAAATTAAATATAAATCCATGTTTGTTTCCTCCATTTTACAAAATGTCCCTTAATTACATGCAGCGCAAATGAAGGAGTAAAATAGCATGCACTTTCATATTGTTAAAAGTAATGAATATTCTCGTTTGTTACGCAAAATTAAATTTGCTAATTACATTTAATAAACCTGATTCAGAATTTTAATTTAACGTTCAGAATATTAGAATTAATTTTTAATTAATTGGTATTATTTCTTCTCTACGTTTATTACTACATAGAATTAAATGTAACTTTTGCGGAACTTTCATTATCCGTAATGACAGTAACACAAATAAATATGTATTTCGTTTTATCTGCCCATTGTCATCAAATTTTGGACACTTGGAATGCACATTACTTCCAGCTAGCTAAGCTGGATAACACCGAATTTTTAGTACAAGCTTGAAGTTGATTTGCCATTAATTAAGCTAAATTAATTATTCGAGCGAAGTAAAACATCGCCACTCTCAGCTATGTAAAAAAGATCCAAAAACGTAGTAGTATAATATGAGTAATGTGGACTTGGTGTTGTAGTAAATATATATAAATAATTTGTGCTTACTTGATTGTGTTTTTGTTTTTATGTGCTCTTATAATGGTAATGTATTGTTTCATTTATTTATTTGTTTATTTGGTGTATTTTTTGCTATTTATTATGTGGTCACGTGTTACAAGTAATTGTTTTATATATAATGTTACATATTTTGTATTTCTGAATTGACCAATGCTTAAATCTTAAAAATTAGCAAACTTACAGTTCATGATATAAGTAGCATGTTTTCTGATGGGCCTTGGCGATATTTTTCAATTATTCGATTACTATTATGATATTCTAAAACTTTTCGGAAGGTGTATTTCCGAAGCCCTAGAAGCGAGTTTCCTCTAAACTTCGAGAAGTCTGCGTACCCATAGCGGTCTGCGTTGAAGCCGGAAGTCAGTTTATTCAGAGTAATTAGTGCGGTTAGTGCTTTAAAGCAGGGGGACCAAGTGCTATTTATTATTAGCCGTGGGCCAAATTGGTCTTTTTTAATGTAAATTCCGTGACGACCATTTGTGGCGTCGCTATATGATTGCAGGATGCAACTGGATCAGAGACCCCTCTTCGGTCGAATTTCTTAAAACATTGTAGTTTTTAAAAAATTACAAATAGGGCATAAAAGGGCTTTTTTTATGTTGCTCATGAATTAATTGACACAGAACTTGCTTCAGAGCTACTGCAACCCCAACCCGTGCGGCAGCACCGGGAGGTAGAATTTAGGGGCGGCAAATTTTAGAATTTCTGGAAGCAAGAGATGGCAGAATTCAGGAAATGTAAAGATTGAATCGGTTGAAAAGACCTTGACCCGATATGTATACTATTTCATTTTTAAATAAATATCTAGGAATGAAATATCTTTCCCCTAATCTGTAGTTCCTCATCAGACTTTTTATCTCAACAATATTCATATTTCATAGTTTTAAAAATTAAAGTTTTTAGGGATGGTAGAACAATATTCTTCGTCGGATGCAGAATGCAAATACATTCTGCATTTTCCGAAGAATGTAGAAAATATCTAGTATTCTTAGCTTAAATTGTTCGCTGGTATAGTCATGTGTATATGCGCATATACTACATTGATTTTGGTAATTTGCTTATATAATCAGCAGGAAAGATATGAAAATGTTGCTGCACGGGATTTCTTAAAGGACCAGATTAAACAATTATAAGAGTAACATGCGGCCCGCGGGCCGAGTTTTGCCCACACCTGCTATATAGCTTATTCTGTGAGTGATATCGATGGACTGAAATATATCTCCTGCGTTAAGGAGAAATTGCTTCATCTCTGTGTTCGTTTTTAATTCTTTTACATTTTGGTATGAGCTGTTATTTATTTCAATAAAATATGCATATCCTTCTGCTCATATGGCATAGTTAACAAACTAATTTCCACGAACATTTAACGCGAAGCATTAGCAACACTATTACTAAATTGGTAAGCTCAATGATTAATAATTATTAAACAGTTACCTTAAACAGACGGAATTATGGATTTATGGCCACCTGGAAACTCTTACACAGATAAATAAATTTTTTACTTTTAATGCATTATAAGAATTTTTTTCCATGTTGACATTTACATGGAATACTGAATTCTAATGTCGTTTGGTTTTTTACGTCCGTTGCCAAAAAAATAAAAAAACACAAAATTAAAAATGCATACGCAGAAAAACATCTGGCACAGTGCCACCTGCAGAGAAGGATAAACTAAGGGATAAAAATATTTTGAAACTTATGAAAATTTTTCAAAGAAAAAATTACTAGTTTGGTTAGTAAACCTTTGTCTGTTGAAACCAAGAGAAGTTACTGAACGCTTTATCTCAGTTTTGAAATTTTTCACATTTTAAAAGGATTGCTGGTATTTTTCTCATATTTAAAAAGAAAGCTGAGAAGTATTTTTCCAATGGGCATGGAATGCAATACGTTACACGATTGTGTAAATCATAAACTCAAGCATTGAAAGCATTAATCTAAATTCAAAATTCTGAATTTGAACGAATATGTTTGTTGTGGAAAATCTAAAAAATTTTGGCATTCAAGAGGATATTTCATTTTGCAAATGACACAAAAATTTCTGCCAAAATTGTTTCTGATAAAAAATTTCTTTCCTAGTGAATTACAAAAAATAACCTAAATTGTATGTCATTAAACCTATGTTATTTTACCAGTAACTCGGTACTTAGTGTATATCATATGATGCGCATACACGTCTTTGCTTACAGCCACATTGTATCAGAGAAACTGTCATAAATTTGAATTATACGCCATGAACTTACTTGCTTTTTCTGGTATAACATTAGCTTTACAACCGATATAACTTGATAGAATAATTTTAATATGAAATTTTAATTAATTTACATACCGCTGCCGTTGCATTAAGATTTATATTTTACAAATTAATAAATCTAATAACGAAATTATTAATGCTTTGAAGCATTGCATAACAGAAAAACGAAATACTTATTCTTATTTTATGCAATTTAATTTTGACCCTAATCTTAAAAATTTAAATACGAAATTATATAATGTTTAATAACTACGGCAAAATTATAGTCTTCTTTATGAAAGAGCTGGTATTAATTGAATGCATGTAGAGAACAAAGCAGATGCTATTGAATTACAAAACATAGCATGTGATACTGATTCGGGTGATATTTTGAGCTCAGGTCCATCCAAATCTTCTGCTTCGCTATCCATGGAAAAAAAAGTTCAATTCTCAATAAAAGCAGAGCTGTTATTCCCTTAAGAAAGTAGCATTGATAAATAAACAAATATTTTTTTTTAATCTGAAAGCTTTCAGATTTTACAGTACGTCCAAAGAGGCTTTTTTAACGTTTTGTGTGTTACCTTTATTTATTAAATAACATGTTCTTCGCACTTAAACCATAAAATTCGATTCAACAGCAATATCGCAAAATAACTTTAAAATGAGCATATCTTTAGAATTTCCGAGACACAGTCTCACGCGCTGGAGATAAAAATGTTCTTTTTTTCGTACAGTGTTGCCATTGCTCACTTTGAAATCGATGAGTTTGTTAATAAAAAATTCGTTAAAGTTTTACTAAATACGAAATCGATAATAAAACAAATTCCAAATTAGGGCTTCCAGATGCCCATATTCTGTGGAGAATTACGTTATTCAAACCTTGACAGCTCTAGGTACGGTTGGTTTTTCCACAATGCGAGAAACATTCATGCATTCAGGCAGATTCTTCATTATTTGTTTCTTTAAATATAATACATGTCGATAATATTTGGTGGCAACAGTTTGAAAAGTGAATCAACGCAGAAAGTGAATCGACGGAAAATGCCAAAACGAAATTAATAGCTCTTCCAGGCTATCAATTCCAGGCTTAAGTCTTCAAAGCATTTTCAGAACAAAACCTAAGGAGAGCATATATAAAAAATTAAATTAATAAGAACGAATTTCTAAAGAATGTGAAATTCTCCCTGGCAGAATTATTTTCTACAAAAATTAGATTTTTCATAAAACATTAATTTTAGACAAATTATGTTTTACGTATTCTGACTTTTTTTTTAAAAGTTTATAAATAAGAAGTCTATCTACTATAATTTAAACATACAAGTACATTTTAAGACGTTCATTGGCTTTCATTATTAAACATTTTTATGTATTTTAAGACACTAATTGTTATTTATTACTAAATTTTTATACACTTTAAGACATTTATATATTATTTCACATTTATATATTGTTTCACATATTTCATGCATTTCCAACTAACCTCATAATTCGTGAAAAAAACATCTTATTTATTCTTATAATTTAAGTAATTTTTTCTGATGCAAAAATATCAGTAAACTACGTACAAATCGATTTTAATTGGCAATTGTGCAGAGTTAACCTGTAACTGAAAAAAACAGTTTCTGCTCCTCTTTACAGTAAAGTTTTCTGAAGTAATAATTATTGTTGTGAAGTAACGATGAGGCAATTATTTATAGGCATGTGGTCGTAAACTGGCTCAAAAAGTTGCTTTGCATTGTTGCAGTTATTTTATGGACTTTGCTTATAGAAATGAAACTTTTCCTTTAAAAAGTAATGCTACTAAACATAATTATAATAATATTCTTAATTATTAATTTGAACCCTGTTTTGCATGCAGATCGATTGCTTATCTGACAATACAATATCAAATTAATTTTCATTTTTCTTCAGGTGCAGGTTGTCAAGTGGCAGGCTTTTTAACTGTCTTCTCCAGCGAACTATCAATTTTCACTTTAACCGTAATCACTCTTGAGAGATGGTACGCCATTACTTACGCCATTCACCTGAATCGTCGATTACATATAGGCACTGCAGCGAAGGTTATGACGTTAGGCTGGTTGTACGCGATAGTTATGGCAGCCCTCCCCATCATGGGCATCAGCGGATATACTAAAACCTCTATTTGCTTGCCCATGGAGAACAGAAATCTCACAGATTTAGTTTACCTCATATGTCTGCTAAGTGTCAAAGGTTTTGCCTTCTTCCTCATCTGCACTTGTTATGCTAAGATGTATCTGTCCATCAGAGTATCAAATAATGGTGGCAACAGGCAGACTCCCGATCTTCATGCCAACAGGTAAGAATCTTTCATTGATCATTAATAATGTAATGATGGTTTATCTAATACCTATCTATTCTTCAGTGTCAATATATATAATATGTTTCTAAAAGAAGTTCTGTGATCTTTGGAAATAAGCAAGAATAAAGCGCTTCAGATTTATCACCAAGGAAAGTGTGAATTTTTTTTTCTTTTAAACCTTGGTAAAGGGAATAAAACTCTGTGTAAAACTTTTCTTGCTCAGCATTTCTTACTTACTTGACTTGATCTTGCTCATATAAATTATCCTCATCGCAGACTAACTCATGAGCAACGGAACTTCAATAATACACGAAGATACAACTCAAATAAGCACAGGATGGTCATAAATTTCAACGCATTTCAGTGAAGAAAAATAAGTTAAATAACATACTTATTTGTAATACATATCAAGATATACAGCAAATCAAATATTTTACATATGTATGAAATATTAAATTCAATACGGGATATTTTAGCTGTGGTAGCAATATTCTAGTCGATATTCAACAACTCGCGACGCTTTCTTCATCATTTCGGGGAATATTATTCGAATAAGTTCCGTAATTCGTTATTTAACCTCAGCATGGTCTAGTAATTAAGTTGCGAATATATGGTCTTTTACTAACACAACTACAATAAAATCTGGAAGTGTTGTATCGGAACATCGAGATGAGCAAGAATTTGGCTCGCACGATACCCCTAAGTTCCTCAAAGAGAAGAACTTCATCGAATTCTTATACTATGTCTGAAGAATAAATTATAAAGCAGTATTAAATTTAAACAATGAATTACAAAACCTTTAAAGCAATAATGTCCGAAATGTTGTGTAATATATGATGTGGGACTCAATGCCGACCGGAATATACTATATGTACCACTTAACGAACCTGTATTGAATTGCTATAAAATTTAACATATATGTTAAAAATTGCTTGAGTTGCTTTATATGGTATATAATGCAAATTAATATGTTATTTAGCTCACTTCTTATTATTCTCTGAAATGCACTTAGTAATTTATGATCACTCCCTATTTATTTGCTATCACCTGTAGACTATAGCTAAAATTCAAGATTAACCCCTTCGAGCCGGGTAGCGAAAACGCGCGCTTATCGCGGAGGCCGGCAGTGTCTTCCGCGAGCGTCTCTCCAGGGCTGGGGGCTTTTTTGCTACTAAGCCTAAATCCATGAAATTTCCGAAGTATCAACGCATTGTTTAATAATGCTCTATAGAGTATTTAAACGGCTTATTCTTTATAAATATTTATATATATATATATATACTTTAATTACCTTATTTCTTGTTTAAATGCATATTTTACACATTTTATTTTAATTACTCACCATTTTATGACTTTTAACATTATACATCTGAAAACTAAATATATTACTTAAAATTCTCTTTTCGTATGAAAAATTTTAAAACAGGGATCTACACATAGTCCTACGTTACATTCCTTGAACTCGTAATAACTCATTTGCCGTTCCGGAGGATTTTTCCGGGAATGTGAACAAACGAAGCATCGTCGTCTCATTTTCTTATCAGTCTCTTCTGAACAAAGTTTCGGAAAATGTCTTTCAGTTAATCTTTCAGAATCAATATCAGAATATCAGAATTTCAGAATCAATATCTGAAATATTTTGCATCATTTCTGCTATTTCATGCTCTGTTAAACATTTTCGACGCTTCGACATTGAAACGGTAAAAACAGAAAGAATTCACGTCTAACAAGATCTAATTATTTTCTAAAAACTGAACTGTAAACCGAAATACTCAACGCTTTAGCGCATATAAAACTTCTACTTACAATAAACAACTACCACGTGCGAATAAAGTGCGATTTAAAGAGACGTCATAAATCCCGCCATTCGGAAACATTTAGTTCCCCGTTTGTTTATATAATCAAAAACACGTGTATGTGAGTCATGCTTCTCTCATTTCGAGTAGAAGGTCTAATGTACATGTATCTGAAACCATATGGACATACAATGCCATCATGTGGCAGAAATTATAGTTTGAAAAACGTTCCAAGGTACTGGCACAAATACGTGACAGTCGGTAGTAAACGCAACAATGCTCTGTCACGCCTGCGTGTCGGCCGGTAGGTAAGTGTGTTCGTTGTTGGCACGTATACGTGACAGTCGGCGCGAAGGAAACTCTTCACCGCTTGATGTACTACTTACGTCAACAGCAAAATGGCGCCTTCCAAGTTTCGGTTCTACTACAGTTCTTCTTTATCTAACGGTAATCTAAACACATAAACCGAATCACTAATCCTCGTTCAAAAGAAAAGTAGCTCGGAGACAAGGCTCTGGATTAGTTGATACGCAAGATAAACAACTAACTTTATCTTTCCACGACACGTGTCTAAATGCTGTTTGCATTTGCTTTTAAACCTAATTTGCATTCTGGTGAATGTCGGCGGAAAAACAAATAGTACAGAAATACAATGTCATAAAATAATTGGTTAATTAGATAAATTTTACAATTTTACATTTCATTTGAGTTTAACTAACAGTTAAGGTTTTATTTTATACCCTTCCTTTATGCTCGTACCGTCACTTAGTCGCTGAGTGCAAAGTATTTTACACATTTCTTATCAAACAGCGTAGGTAGAGAAAGGGAAAATCGTAATTGCATGACTTGTGGTAACGCGATATTTTGCTTTAGTTTCGGCGCGGTTCTTGTCTTGCCGCAAAAGTGCTATTCGGGAAAAAAATTGCTAGACATGGGACTTGGTTCTTGTGTTTTTAACTTATAATAGGTTATCCGATTCAGTATAATTTTTATCTTTGCATAGTAATAACACTGGTATCTTAGCAAGTTAAATTATTTTATGTTTCAGTCAGTTGCTAAAACATACAGGTCGAGGAGATTTAGAATTTTGCTTGTAATATTTCAATTTGGAACTCACAAGTAGTAAGATAAAATAACGTTAAGATTTTTACAATTCTTGAATGTTTGTTGCTTTTATAATCAGTTTAAGCTAAAGGAGATAACTCGCAACGCATCGTTAAGGTAACGATTGAGAGATGAATGTTCGGAATCAGAAAGCCTCTCAAACTTTAAGAAAAATAAATGTCTCGTAAGTATGCTGTTCAATATTCGCTTTTAAAGTGTTAATTTCAGAAACTTGACACATATTTCTTATTAATTTGATTAGTTCATTTGAATTTACATATTCAGAAAATTTTAAATCCACAAATTTAGCTTCGTTTCGTATTTTAAAGTAGTTCCCTGAAACATTTTACAGAAGCAAAATACACTTCAAAATTTTGGCACTCAGGGTAATAAATTGAATGCTAATTAGCTATCATAGGTACATATTTATAATTTATATACATTTTAATTTAACCGATTAATAAACCTGTCATTTTTTTTCAATTTAATATCTATTGCGTTATATAGTAGGATTATTTATTTTTCAAATCTGAATTCAGAAACTCTGAAGACCTTTGCTTTTGGCTAAAAAAAATAATACTTAACTCCTTATTTAAATTGATATTCTCATTTCAAATTAAAGCTTTTACACACAAATTTAACAAAAACATTGTTTTTACAATGATACTTTAACAATTCTATGCTATTCCTATTAAGCGGAGAAAAGTCATTATCATGGTATATAACTTCGAAAACAAAAGGGCAAGGAGAAAAATAAAATGTGTAAGGAAGAAACATTTCCACCATTTTAGGTTTTATTAACTTTTAAATTGTTTTGTGAGATACATTTATTTTTTAGAAGACTTATTTTTGGTCTGCTGAATCCCTTTCTAATTTAAAAAAGTGTATATCTTTAAAATATCATCGTTATAACATTTCTAAGAGCATAATATTTGAGGTTCATTTAAGAAAGAACAAACTGTGAAAGAAAATTTGGAGATGAAAGAAATATTATTTTTTTATTGTTACAAACAAACAAAGTATGCAAAGTATGGCATCTGATGATATTCTTTAAAAAAAATCATAGTCACTCACAAAGATTTGGTTCTGCAATTTATAAGCCGGTAAATTTGGCAGAAAAATAATTGCTTATTTTTTCCGTCCAAATTTATATTTTGTATGAGACATTCTTTTCTTTCTTTCCACAGTAATTATAATAATAAAAATAGCACAAAAGCGCACCTAGACCCTACTAATATTTTATTTTATTCCTTCAACCATATGTCATTTTCTCATCAATTGTGTTCAAAAGTATCAGGTACGTAAAAAATCTCAAAAACAGTGGCCAAAACAGTCTTTACTTTGCTTTAAAATAGGTACTTTATGGGCATGCCGCCCTCCTCTCATTTACGATCATACTGTGTGTAGTCATCACCCCGGACAGGAAATAAGGAAATTTTAGCAAATTAGAGAATTCGACCTTTTTCCGCAGCAGTCGTTGCCATAGTTATGAATTATACTTTGGGGGGAAGGACGAAATAATCTTGAAGTTCCCATTAACTACAGAGGCTGTTCGCACATTTTTAGACGATTTTGGTAAGCGGTAATAAAACGTCGTTTGCTGCAAAAAAAGTAATTGCAATTGTGTTATGTTTTTAAAAGTCAAGATTATCGTCTGTTGGATTGAAAGTTTTGTTTTATTCAAAATGGCGAATTTAACAAAGCAGTGGTTCGAAGTCTACATTTACGCTCTTTCCGAAGAGAAATATGCATACTCCGTTATCCAAAAACGATGTGAGAGTCGTGGTTTTGTGATATCTAAAGCGTCGATAGGTAATATCATCAACAAGAAAGGAATAAAACATCAAATTGGAACCTCAAGTGGGACAAAAATTCCAAACAAGTATCCAAGGAAAAAACGGACATCTTCAACTATTGCAAAGGTACGTTGTTTAATGTTAAAAGAAATCCCTTTAGTCAAAGGACAGTTGCAAAATCATTACAATGCTCGGTGTCCACTGTAAACAAAATGATAAACGTTGATTTAAATCTTAAGAAAGCGAAAAAACGCAATGTGCATCGTCTTCTTCCAAAGCATATCGCTCAACGCAGGACACG